AAGTTAACGTGCTTATATGGAACCCGGACCTGATGGAACATGGCGTTGATATCAGCCATAACAGCGATGGGCTCTTCTCTAAACCGAAGGAGGACACCAATTAGTGTTAGTGAAGTCTGGGCCCTGCAGGAGCTGACTGTTCAATGATATACCTTTGTAAGTACAGCCGCAATCAAACACAACACGCAACTTTCCTTTGGTTGGATGACGTACACCATGGTGGGGAATGTACCACACCTTTCCTTGTTCCAGAGTGGGCTCATTTGTGGGAACCTTTTCTGCATATCCTTGCTCAAACATTTTGTTAAGGAAATCAACGTATTGAGCCTTGAATGAAATATCTCTATTAAATCTCCTCTTCAGGCCTTGGAGTCTTTGTAGTGCAATGCAGCGATAATTTGGCAAAACAGGATCATCAACTCTGAAAGGTAAGTCAATGTGATAATGTTCATTGTTAAGCACTGTCGTACTCTCCACAATTTTCATGAATTTAATGTCTTCTCTTGACATCTCAAGTTGTTCATCACTTGTAAAAATCATGATTATACTGTTGTATCAACATACTTTCCAAGTGTTCCACAGATATGCGATTAGCAGTTACAACAATGCATCCTGATTTGACACCAGTACCTTCAGAGTCTCCAGCACGAAGAGGCCCATTTATGACCCAGCCAACTCTGGTCCTTACTGCATACGGTCCACCACATTGACTGTTTATCAGTTCCCGTGGCTCCAAAACTTTAGGAGAGTCGGTTCCAATGAGAAAGTCTACATCTGCATCTACTTCATGTAGCCTGATGCTGCTCAAATACGCCCATTTGGCAACATCATCCTGACATGGCACATTGACTTTAGATACAGGCATTTTTGTTTGTGTCAGAACAGACGGTAGCTCAATAAAGTCATCGGTGTCAAATCCAGACACCTCCAGACCGGTTACTATAGTAGTGTTGATGGTTTTAGTCTGCCCCATTGTCCTTAACACTACATTACAGTTTTTTCCTGATACTCCCAGCCTTTCAGCCATACTTGTAGTACAGAAGGTACCAGAGCTCCCAGGATCCAGGAAAGCATAAGTGTGCACAACTTTATTACTTTTCTGACTTTTCACCTGCACAGCCACAATGGAAAAAACAGCAGTATCCTCTTCACCAGCCCCAATATGACCACACGTCTGCTGCTTCCCGGATACAGTGCTCACAGTTTCTTTGGAGGTTATCCTTGTAGTATCCTCCTTCTCCACATGCAGGACAGATGGGTGCTTCCTGTGACACACTTCACAATCCAAACGACTCCTGCAGTCTTTGCTTGTGTGTCCATGTTTCAAGCACCCAAAACAAACGCCCTTCTCCTTTAGAAACTGAATCTTGTCCTGTTGTGTCTTTCTTCTAAACTGAAAGCATTTTTCCAGAGTGTGATTGGTAAGATAGCAGAATATACATTTGAGCTGGTTACTGTGAGCTGTCAAGTTTTCCATTTCTTTATGTCCATCCTTTGGTGCATTAATGCTGGTGGCAAATGTACCACTTTTCCTTTTCTGCTTAACTTGCATGGATAGCTTTGTATAGCTGGCTGGAGAAACATTATTAATATTTCCAAACAGAGGATCTGAAACAATTTTGACTTGTTTTTCAATGAAATTCACAAAATCAACAAACACTGCTCTGCTTCCAGTTTGTTCCAATATGTCACATGCCACATTTCTCCACTTTTCCCTCAGCTTATATGGGAGTTTCATTAGGATCGTCCTGAGGTTAGCTGGCATGTCCAACTCCTTCATATACTTTATATGATGTACTATATTGGAGCAACCTCGAAGGAACAAAGCAAATGACTGCAAAGCATTAACATCCTCAGGTTTTATTGAGGGCCATTGTTGATTTTGTCCATGTAAGCCGAAGATATTTTATGTTCACTGCCAAAATGTTCAATCAAAAGCGTTTTTGCTCTTTGATAACCTGGTTCAGAGGGCATATGCTGACAACTTCTCACAATGTCTCTTGGTTTCCCTCTAGTGTACTGTTCTAGGAAGTACAGACAATCACTGAAATTTTGAGTTTTATCCTCAAAGGCTCTGAGAAAAGATTTGAAATACAGGGGATCTCCATCAAATACAGGTATATTTCTCATAGGCAGAGCAGAGGCTGTGTTTTGTTGGACCAACAGCGCAGTTATTTCATTTTGACGCTGCATGATGTTCAAAATGTCCGGAGAATTGATGGATGGATTATCGTCACAAACATCTTGCAAACCCAGTGATTGTGTACCTTGCCTTTGAAACACAGGAATGACATTAGGTATGGGTAGTTGTTTTACAACATGTTTGGGTTGAACACCAACAGGGACAGAATTTAACAAGCGACTGGAGGTAGGTTCAGAGCTTTTATTGGTGGGCACATAGCGTTCAGCATTCGGATTTAGTTCATATGTCCTTGAGTTTCTGACCTTTTCAAGTAAGAATTCATGCCATCTGATGTTTGAGATGCACATCTTGACACTTTAGAGCCACACTTTGAGCTTACTTCCACAACCTCCAATTTTGCATTTGTCACCTTTAATTCTGCCTCCAGAGCAAGTTGTTCCTTTTCTCTCCTTAAATGTTCCCGTTTCTTCCGTAAGTCCTCTTGTTCAAGCCGTATTTGTTCCTGTAACGCTGCTCTTCCCGCTTGCACTAATATTTTTGCAGATGCACTGGATGAAGTCTTTGACAGTTTAGAACCAGCCTTTGAACGCGTTTCAGAACCTTTATTGGATACACTGTCCTCAGGCCCAATATCAGTTGGATTATCAGGTGGTTTAATTGGAAGTTCATATGAATGGCCTGTGTTTGATAACCAATTTGACGCCATCAATAAAGCTTGAAAAACACTTTTCCTTTTGTTCAAAATATTTATCTTGTTTCTCCTTCTCCTCCTGAGGTATGTCCAGTGACACAAATGACAAATGATGTTGTTTTGCCTCATCAACACATATTATTATTGATCCAAAAGAGACTTGACTGCATCAATATTGTCTGCAGAATGCATCAACTTATCCATCTGATTCATGTACGATTTGGCTCGTCTGCATTGCACCGATCTCTTTTCCTGACACGTTTGCATAAAAAACATCATTCCTTTAGCAGTAAAACTTGTGCGTCTTCTTGTAGGAAGCGCCGTGTCGCTTGTGGCTTTAGATGCAACGTCAGACATTTTACCCTTTGTTGATGTCGGTCATGTACACACACAGTTGCTTGCAAAGATTGAATAAAGCACATACCTTGTGGAACTTTGTTTGGGTGGTTGCCTTCGTGCACGGAATTGAATGCAGGCAGTAGCTGTTGTTGCGCGCGGCTGTGCGCATCACCTGTGAAGGCTTTGGGCCTTTGCGAATTCAAATTGCAGCAAATAATATCCTCCACTCCGTAGTGCAGCTCCAGCGCTCCAGTAGCTTCACCGTTATCCAATACGGTGTCCAGGGAAATTTTACATCGTCGGGTGGGTCGTATTATTCGATGTTTGCACTGCATCCAGCCCCCTGGCTCTGTCACTCCTAGGCCCTTTTTCCTTTGTTTGTCTCCCACATCCAGGTGAATAATCCACTTTCGAAACGGTAATCCAGCAAACGACAAGTCCAGTATCCACGCAAACCAACGATATGTTTTTTACTTAATGTAGTGGCTATTTGTCCATAAACTTAAACAAATAATAACAAACTTCTCAAATGGCCACTTGAGGCTACGTCATGGTTAGGCTTTACGCAGGTTCAGAGGTACCAAAGCAAAGTGATGTCCATAACAAGATTGAGTTTGAGGAGGTTTATTCACACACATAAGCAAGCTCACAGACATTTCCTCTCTCACGCTGATAAAAAACCATATGCCCTCGTGCCTGAAGTACCTCCCACCTTGACCTACTTATGCAAATGAACATAACACCATGTGACCAACAAACGACAATACAAGTAAAGCATAAATACAAAATAAACCAAATTAACTTTAACAAGAAAAGAAATAAATTAGGCTATAAATTAACTTAAGCCCAAAATAAACAAAAATAAGAATATAGCTCCAACAACAACAATAAACAATCAACATGACTGAAATGCTCAACTTCAGAACACTGTAATTTCACCACTGTATTTCTAAATATATTGACATTATTACATTATAACTGACATTATTAAATTCACTTTCACACAGTGAGCTTGAGGATGGCAGCACTAGGGAATTAGAGAAAGGGACAAAGAGCAACACCAATACAGAGGGCGAATCAGAGACTGAGGAGCAAACTGGGACACAATGTCAGTCTTAATTTTACCACTAGATGACACTAAAGTAAAAAAAATAAATCCTGCATACAGTGAAATTAATAAGATTAAATGAGGAGGCTGTTACACTGGTGTTGTAAATAATAAGCAACATTTTAATGATTGTTTTCTTGTACATAAAACTATGAAATATAATAACTCAAACTACCAGTTTTAAGACAGTTTCTTTAAATTAAGTCGCTTTTATCCAAAGCTTTTTATGTCAGAGGTTGCACGCCTCTGGAACAACTAGGAGTTAAGTGTCTTGCTTAGGGACACATCAGTGGAGGGGTCACAGAGGGGGATTGAACCCAGGTCTCTCACACCAAAGGCATGTATCTTATCCACTGCACCATTTCAGCCATCAAGGCAATGTAAAATAATGATTTGATCCCAGTGCAGTTGTCTAGTTGGTGTGTTTAACGTCACTAAATGAGTAAATAACTGACCAAAACAAAAAGAGGAATAGCCACTTTATCTGGAAATTAAATGTGAATTCAAATGGTCAATGTAGTCGTCAAAAATATTTTCTCAAAATATGTTCTCAGTGTGCAAGTTTTCACATAAAAATATCACTGAATTGCAGGGAAAGGATTTTCTTTTATTTCTGGGACTCTCATTCAGACCAGGTCAACAATATACAGTATCTGTGATAAGTTAGATCAGGTAATGAGATAAGATGATCGTTGCTCGGTGCTGCTGAGCTGTTGACTGTTGTGTAGAGAGGATCCTCTGAAGAGCTGGACGGCTGGCTGACTCTACAGTAGGCTGGATTTTACTTCACAGTAGAATATTTTCAGGCAGCAGAGCTGGGTTTGAGGATCACTGCCTCACCACCAACTCTGTCAGAGCTGTTTGGAAGTTGATGCTGGAGTAATGCAGCGAGGCAGAGGGGTTTGTGGGAAAGTTGGCAGTGGCATAAATTGGGAGTCTGGAGAACTCTCCATTCAAAATGTGCTCAACACTGTAAGTTAAAATACAAACAGGTCTGAGTAACGGATTTTATGTAAAAAAAAATTTAAAAGAACAATAGCTATTATCAATATTGTATAAATAGTTAAAGTTTTAAAACATTCCCATATACATTATATCATACAGTAACACATTTCCCGTTGTGGTCTACAGTGGGTTTCTGATCATTAGCTCATGTGGTAACAGTATAATACTTTATAGGGAATGTTTTGTCAAGTCCTCCAACCTAAAGGACAACATAGTTTGTTTTTACCAACCTCCAAATACGACTCATATAGGCATATCCTAAAGTAGTGTTAATTCACTGTATTAAAAGAAACAAATCAGTCTTGTTTCACCGCTCACGTTAGACTATTAAATGATAAATGTGGATAAAATGATTTAGTTATAAGTTAAACAATATTAATGACAGAGAAATATCAATTTAATATTTTAAACTGTTATGGTGACATTAGTAGTTGGTCTAAATTACAGAATATATGTGGGATATTACAGGAATATTACAAAGGGCTTCTTTTGAAATCTAGCATAAGTAAACTAGTGCACTTCTTTTCCTTCTCTTTGATTTTCTTCATGCTTCTGTCCTTGTATTCTTAAAACCTGCAAATCCTGTCAGACAAAGAGAGAAAGGGAAAGAACAAAATGTTATAGTAGTAAAGTGAATAAGCAGTAATACATGTGCAGAATTGTCTTCATTTAAGTATTCCTAAAACGTTGTCACATTATAGAGGATTTTTTCCCCCAAGTACTTAAATGAAAACGGGAAATGTTAAACTTATTAAAGTCTCCGCCCATCACTCAACTTCTCTGCTGCTGACACTCTGATCCCTACATTCATTACATCCAGAATGGACTTCTCCAATAGCATCCTTTATGGTTCATCTGCCAAAGCCCTAAATAAACTTCAATACATCCAAAACTCTGCTGCCCGCCTTCTCATTCACACCTGCATCCTCCAGAATCCCCACCGGCTCCCTGTTTCCCAGCGCATTCAGTTTAAAATCCTCCTCCTCACCCATAAAACCCTCCATAACCAGGCCTCTTCCTACCTCACAGACCTGCTCCACCACCACAATCCCTCCCGAAACCTCTGCTCCTCTAACATAAACCTCCTCTCCTCACCACTCAGGACCAAGCACCGTACCTGGGGTGACTGGGAGCTTTTCACACCCCACAGCTCCCCTCCCTTTGGAACTTCCTACCCATACAGATCCACTGTACTGACCTGGACACATTCAGATCACTTATCAAAACCTACCTCTTTAGATTAGCCTTCAGCCTCTTAACAATGTTAAATTTCACCTGCTGTTAGTTTTATGCTCTTCCCTGCATTGATGTATATTATGTAACTATTTTTTTATGTGCTTAATGTACTGGTTTTATTGTAAAGTGTCTTTGAGTATCCTAAAAAGCACAGGTGAAACCTGAAATTTACTTTAAAATTGTTTTATTTCCAATTAACATTTCAATTGAAGTGTTTGCCTTTAAGGTTTTAATTTAAGCATTAAGATTTAAGCATTTCAGTTTTCTATTTCAGGACTTTTCAATTTAAATAACAACATCAATTTGTCATTTCAATATTCCAGTTCATTTTTCAGTTTTTAATAACATGTATGGCCTGATTATCTTTAATGCTATAATATAAAAAAAATTGTCGCAATTTTCCCCTTTTATTTCTTGGTTAAATCATCCTCCATAGCACATTACCTGAAGTGCTAGTTTAAGAAACAAAAGTTGGAGCATAGTAAAATATCATGTTGTGGAGTATGGTTTGTGTAAGAAATGTAACTGTATTGGAGTAGACTAAAAGCAGGCACAGTTGGTCTCTGTCTGCCTGAAACTATGATGGAATCATGAAATCGACTACACATGATAGGGCTGTGAGTTTGCCAAAAATAAGGTTTGAACAAATTTGTACAAACAATTAAAACTTAATTAAATTCAATCTTAAGCTGTACCAAATTATGTTCCCCATTCATTTCTAGTAGCGAGGAGGCATATGTTTTCACCGCTGGTGTTCTACTGTTTTCTCTGTCCTATATTGCTATGCCAAATTTGTGACCCATCAGATTCTGTGAAGGATCAACTACATAAAAAGTCTCGACCAAAATTTGTCAGTTGAGATGTTAGTTGATCCACAGACAAATATACTTACATGTCTGCCATTAAAGTGATCTAAATGTTTTGATCAAAAAGTAGCCACCAAATGTGTTTTTGGAGATGTTTGATGATATTAAAACCAGTGAAAACCTCTTACGTGTGTAGACAAAATATGTAGTGAGCATAAGCAGCAACAGCAGCACATCCAAAGAGAGGGCCACAGCAATCGTCAACACAGATGTCCGATCTACACGAGAAAACAAGAAATCAAAATTACATCCAACATTAACAAAATGAAGAAGAGCATCAATACTTATAGTATTAGCAACAAAAAACTATTAAATATTTGTAGTCAGAAGTATTTTACCATGACCGATTAAAGACACTCAGCCTAGTATACAAGCATTATTCCTTAGGGTTTAAATGAACAAACATGCTTTCTCACCAAAACCACCATAAGAAACAGAAGCTGGCTTTGTTACAGATGGTGAAGAGGTTGCAGGGGGATTTGTTGACACGGCCGGTGACACTGTAAACAAACAGTCAATTACATTTAAGTTAAGCTTTTAAGCACGCAAACAACAATATATTTAACAGGTTTAATTCATAACTAAGAAGGAGAGAATACATTTGGTATTTAAGAAAAACCAACAGGGGAAATTTATGTCTGATGTCATTTATCTAAAGATGGAGGGATTTGTATAATTTACATGGGTTTAAAGTACAATGTTGTGTCAGCTTTCAGCTTGTGTGCCTATTTTACGTTACTGTTAACTGTAATGTAGTTAATTTAATTAGAGGTAAAAGGTGCTGATTGAGAAACCTGTGATCCCTCGCTGTATGTTAGGAATCGGTGTAAGGAAGCAGCATTTGACAACTCACATACAGTCATCAACAATCTGTGGAAGAATGTTAAGTTGGCCAACAATCGGTTACCGTCCTACAATCTGAACCAGGATCAGATTTCATTCACACAATAAAAATGACTCACCTACAGTCATCACCAGTTTGTGGAAGAATTTGTTGCTGTGTGTTTTGTCAGTGCTTTCTGCTCCACACCAGTATGTCCCAGTGTCGTCTGTTGTTACGTCTCTCACTGTTATGGTGATATTTCTCTTATCTTGTTCCTCCTTCATAGAAAACTTCCCAGTGTTCTTGTTGTGCTGTGCGGTGCTTACTAGAGGTTGACATATAGATGGATCTTCTCCCTTACAGATGAATTTGTTTATCAGAGTATAATTTGGATATTGACACCAGTATGTAAGATTCTGTCCAACAGTTGGAAACGTGGTGAAGTTAGTAATAGAAGCTGTAGAGACACAGACAGACATCGTTGTGTATCAGTGACTGTATTTAACAACATATTTCAGAGACACTTTAATTATCTGTGTGAGAAAATCAAAGCTAAAAGATGTGTGCTGCTCACCTTTAACTTCCAGCTGTATCTTTCTGAGAGCAGCTCTGTAACTTCCTTCATGTGTTTCCACTCCACACCAGTAGACACCAGCATCACGTGAGGACACGTTACTGATGGACACGCTGAAGCTACTCTTGGTTTCTGTGAGAGTGAATGTCCCGTTTGACTTCAGAGAGGATTTTGTTGATAAAATATCCTCACAGATTGAACCGTTCTGTTTGCAGAAGAACTTGTATTTGTTTCCTGTGTAATCACATGTGATGGTGGTTTTAGCTGTTCTGTACACAGTTTGAATAAATTGTCCCTGGCAGCCGTCTGTCTCTGCAAATAAACAAGAAAGGTAAAATGTGAAACTGTGATAATGTGCTAACACATGATGGAAATGCAAATCACCACACTCATACAGTAAAGTGTGAATCATGTTAAATCTGCTTTTATTGCAAATTGATCTCCATTTTGTTTATCTGAGTAGATGATAACTTGAAATACAGTGAGGAAAATAAGTATTTGAACACCCTGCTATTTTGCAAGTTCTCCCACTTGGAAATCATGGAGGGGTCGGAAATTTTCATCGTAGGTGCATGTCCACTGAGAGACATAATCTAAAAAAAATGATGATGATTTCTAAGTGGGAGAACTTGCAAAATAGCAGGGTGTTCAAATACTTATTTTCCTCACTGTAGAAAGTGACTCTACTGAATGTGGAATTAGAGTCAAAATTGTCTGGAAATTCATAACCAACATCTGTAACCAGCTGTGTGTGTGTGTGTGTGTGTGTGTGTGTGTGTGTGTGTGTGTATAAATGATGTTAACAATGTATCCAATAAATTAATTTTAATAAAAAGTGAGTGCCTCTTACCAACGTCCAATTCCAATTCCACTGTGTCACATGAGTCAGGTAGTTGGTTAAATTTACAGGTGTACTTCCCAAAGTTCTCACGTTCAGTTTTATTAATGGCCACCCTGAGATTTTTTTTTTTGGATCATGGTACAGGAAAACTCTGCCGTTGTTTTCCCACACATTCTTTAGAGCAGTTCGTATGGTTTCTTTGGGATTAACTAAATCAATACTTTCATATGTTACATTTGGTTTTGGATATTTGCAGGTGAATTTAATCCATCCTACTGGGCATCCCTTCACTTTAGACAAGACCTCATGACCTGAAAGACAAAAGTTCACAACATGACACTTGACAGACTGTCATCTGAATTAGCTCTCTATCAATGCAACATTGCAACTTTATTTTGAGCTCAATATTTACCACTTGGAAGCAGTATACAAACATTTAATACATTCTTTTAACACACTATAATGTAGTTATAGGCTGCTATGAGGACAGTATCTGTCAGCAATTATAATATCTTATTTAGAGATATTTTATATAATTGCAACTGTGTTTTAACATACAGTCACTCATCATCGGTTTAGCAGCCTCTACTTTTGAGTGCCCACAGGAGGGGCTATACAAACACATTAATTAAAAGTTTTTAGCTGGAAGTGGTTTTTAAATTTAAATCTAAAAGAACACTTGAACAGCCTAAAATATCATGTTTGAAAAGTAGATTCTAATGAATCAATTTGAGCTAAAGAACAGCTAAACCCAGGAGTGGTTGTTGGTTGTCTGGCTCGGAGTAAAAAACAATTGTCCAGCCCAGAACCTCATATAGCTTCAGCTGAATTTCTAAATGTATTCTCACATCCTTTAGGAAATGATCTCTTTGCAGCTAGTATTAGTCACAATAACAGTGAACAGTAAGACTTTCAATGCACATACAGGAATCTGAGTATTGATTTGTAAGAATTGATAAAATGTGCATCTATCCTTAAAAAGTGAAGTATCTACATCTGTGTAAATAAAATTGATCACTTGTTAAGGGTTTTAGTCGTTGCTGATAGAGTTCTGTTGTCACATCACTGCAGTACGCTGCTCTGAAAATGGAAGTGCAGGAAATGAAAACAAGAGCACAAATAGCAACAAGATATCTTTCTGCAGACTGAGTCAGCCAGTGACAGGATATCCCAGTTGACTGCCTTTGTAACAGCATTTCAAAATCTACTACATGCTTAAACATGGATGAAATAGGATGCTGTTTAATCAAGATCAATACATGAAACAGATAAAACTATCTCAGTTTTTGAGGGGCCTTTTCAACTGCAACCCTAAAGTCATTATTATTGTTTCAGCTTACAGTGACTGAAATATGTCTTATCTGTTTGATGGCAGGAAAAGCACAAGTGTTCATAATAACATTAACAATGGCTCTGTTATATTCAAGTCTAACAGTAAGTCATGACAGTGAGTCAGCATGAACAATATCAGGACCCTGAAACTGCAGCAGCTAAATGGAATTCAGCCCTCATGTATTTTATTGTTTACACCTGTGTTTCTCCTTCTGTGATGTAAAAATGTCTTTTGTGAAAAGGTCAATTGTCAAGTGTTTTGCACTTTACCACAGAGAAAATAACTGATTCTCTCACTACTTCTTTTGCTTTACCCGTCGCCATGGTGAATCATTGGATTGCAGATCAATTGATGATGGCTTTAGTTATTCATCATGCATGTAATATGAGGTTAACATACTCAGAGCTGATACAACTGATGGTCAGTTAGGGTTAAACCAGCTTTCTGGAACAGGACCCTGAAACTCTACAGACCAATATTTATTAAAATAACTTTATAAGATGAAATAAGAGTCCAGCAGTAATCAATAATTACTATAGCTTGCTTTTCATGCTTGTCATCCAACATTACCCTCCTACAATCTGAACCAGGATCAGATTACATCTACACAATAAAACAACATCACTCACCTACAGTCATCACCAGCTTTTGGAAGAATTTGTTGCTGTGTGTTTTGTCAGTGGTTTCTGCTCCACACCAGTATGTCCCAGTGTCGTCTGTTGTTACGTTTCTCACTGTTATGGTGATCTTTCTCTTGTTTTTGTCCTCCTTCATAGAAAACCTCCCAATGGGCTTGTTGCGCTGTGTGCTTAATAGAGTTTTACATATAGATGGATCTTCTCCCTTACAGATGAATTTGTTTATAAAAGAATCATTTGGATATCGACACCAGTATGTGAGATTCCATCCAACAGTTGGAAACGTGGTGAAGTTAGTAATAGAAGCTGTAGAGACACAGACAGAAAGACATTGGTGTGTATCAGTGACTGTATTTAACAACATATTTCAGAGACACTTTAATTATCTGCGTGAGAAAATCAAAGCTAAAAGAGTCAGATGTGTGCTGCTCACAGTTAACCTTCAGCTCACAGATTTAACCGTTCTGTTTGCAGAATAACTTGTGTTTGTTTCCTGTGTGATCTCATGAGATGGTGGTTTTAGCTGTTCTGTACGCAGTTTGTTTAAATTGATTCTGACAGCCGTCTGTCTCAGAAAGGTAAAACCGGAATTAAAATACAGTAATGCTGTGCTAACACGTGGTCACCACACTCATAAGGTGTGAATGATATTGATAATATTCTAAACACTCAAATACGCTTTACAGGGCGAAAGATAAAAGTAACTGGTCAAAAAAGAAAAGGAGGGAGAGAGGGGAAGGACAGAACTGGAGAATGCAGTCTTGAATAGGTGGGTTTTGAGGGTCTGTTTGAAAGATAGCATGGAGATAGGGGATGGTGAGGAACCCAGAGTCAGAGTGAAGTATGTCATTGGGTGATTTTAAGTAGGGCAGTTTGAGTGAGTATCGACAACTCGCTCATGGATTGTGGACAGAGAAAGAATGATGGAGATGGGCCTGCAGTTGTTCAGGGTGTCGGGGTCGAGTCCAATGGACAATGAGGAGTTGCTTACATTGGTGATGAGTGGGGAGAGTGTTACATCTGCTTTTTTTGGAATCTGATCTTCATGGCAAATTGATTTCTCTACTGGATGTGGAAGCAAAATAATTTAGAGTAGTGGCACCACACTTTACATGTACAGTATGAAAGCTAAATTAAATCAGTTACGCCTCGATACATAAAAAGCAAAGAGAGAATATGTTTCTGAAATTTCATTTAATTCATTAGATGTGCATTGGGTTGTAAAGGTCGATTGTCAAATTTACAGGTGTACTTCCCAAAGTCCTCATGTTCTGTTTATTTTTTGGGTCTATGTCAGCAATTATTACTTTTTTGAAGACATTTAATAGTTTACAACTGTGTTTTAATAAACTGTCATTCATTTGTTTATTTACCAGCCTCCACTGATGGACACCCACAGGAGGGGCTATACAAACACATTGATAACATTATTGCTGAAAGTGGCGTCTACAGTCATCAACTCCTGAACCCCCTAAAATATCATGTCTGAAAAGCTTTTTCTTCCACCATTACTGTACTGTTCCTCACAATCCTGCTCTAACATTTGTACATAAAACTATAAATATCCTTTCAGACTTAAAATATTTCTCTTATAGCCTGAACAGACTGGATTTTGAGGCTGAGACCAATTTCAGTGTTTACAAAAACTGGATGTCGATTATTTTTCATCATGTAAAATATTTTAAAAAAAATTATTTGTTTTTTTGTGACCAAGCTTTACTGAGTGAGACATCTTAACTGTGAAGTCAGTGCTCTACGAGCAGGGCTGTAACAAGTGTAATCTCTAAGATCAGTAGTCCAATAGCAGCAAATGTTTTTACCTGTCGTCTGTGAGAGGAAGAGAAGAAGAAAGATCTTCATCTTGTTGGATGCTGAGATCCTCCTTGTTGGTTGGTCTCCTGTATCTACACAGCTCTATTTCCTGAACTTACATCTTATGATACCTAAAAACTACTCCTCAATTTTCTATCCTGCCCCTTTCATCTTTCTTCTTTAAGTTTTAGCCACATCTCCTCCCACCTTATACATCACTTCATTACACAGTAAATAGGAAATGACTGTAATGAGAGAGAGAGAAAACTTGTACTGTCCCCTGACACAGTGCAACAGTTATAACTTATGCAAACTACAACTGTGAATGCGTACATCCTCATCATTATTCATGATCTGGTTTTAATCAAGTAAATTACGTACTTCATAGATCATAAATTGTGTATCTGCACAGGTGACTGAGGGAACAAACTAAAGACATTTTATTAGAATTTTTTTCTCCTAAAACCTGTGGATGTTAAACCTTTGGGCAGCAGTAGCTCAGTCTGTGGGGTCTTATCTTGGGAACCGGATGGTGGTTCCGGTTCACGTCCAGCACGGATCAGTCAAAAGGAGTTCAGACTGGCAGCTGGAGAGGTGCCACTTCACCTCCTGGTCACTGCTGAAGGTTCACCTGAGCAAAGCCTGAACCCCTAACTGCTCAGGGAGCCTGACTGCGTGGCAGCCCCCTCACTCTGACATGTAGAGGTCCTGTTTGTGCGTTTGTATTTTGGACCTGTGTGTGACCCTGTTGGAGGGCAGTGGAAGCAACCTATGAACATCATTAACATATTATCACCTTCAAGATGAACTTGTTCGCAAAGCAGAGTGGTCATTCATCTGTCCAGTATTCTCTCTGTTAGCTTTGTTTTGGGGCTAGAACCTCTCCTGAGAGAAGATTTGACTCTTTAGCTGCTAAATGCTCGACTGTGTTCACCAGTTAGTCTCTAACTGTGTCTGTCTCCTGTTTGCTGCTGAGCAGATAGTGAACAATGGCCTTTTAGTTTTTCATTGTCAGATAGTGTTCAGCATTTAAATGGTAGGAGATACAGCTCTTTTTAAACAGAAGCTGTAATAATAAGCTGTAAAGCTTCACATGGAAATGTTGGAACAACAGTAGTGATGGCTGTGGATGAGGTCTATGTTGACACGTCTCTTACTATTATTATTTTTTATCTCCCTCTGGCTATGAGACATTCTCACCCTTAACCAGAAAAGCTATTTAAAACCAACAGGTTGCAAACCACAGGCTCACTTAAGTCTCCACCCATAGAACAAAACCACATGAAACTGCTGCTGATGGCTGATAAAATTATATTATTAAATTTATAAACAGGTTATCATGTTTAATCAGGTTTAATTGGCTGAATTAGATTAAAACGTGTGGCAGTATCTGCCTTGCCTTGTTTTATTGAGTGTTTTGTTGGCAGAAAAAAAAAAACACCTTCAGAGTACTCTGGCAAAAAGATAAACCTGGAACAACTTTTGCCAGACTGCAAAAGGAAGTCTTCGGGTAAGAAGCTGAGTTGGCAAATGAAACACAAGCAAGCAGACGTTCCTTTGTAACTGGATCGCTGTATTTCTGCTGTTTATCTCACAATTAGTGCAACCAAATATTAAACTATTGATGCTGTGATCATTTCCAGATCTTTTGTCAGATCCTGTGATCCTTTAACCTGATGGACTGTCAAACTGGGCTGGATCGTTGATTTCTCACCGTCATTTTAAACAGCACACCCCCACCATCACAGCCCCCCTGCATTGTTTTAACACTGTTATAGTCACTCCTTGTTCAATAATAATTAGTCATTCAACAAAACTGAATTAGAAAAGCATCACGGTCAGACTGAACATCCTCAGTCAGGTTATGATCTCAGGCTTTAGTGTCATTCTATTTTAGGTCACTTACAAAAAGCTCCACCCCTCATATTTTTCTACAACACATCATTGCAGACATCAGTAACCACAGGAAACTGTGCTTTTTGGTGATTTAAATTCAAAATGAATGTATCTAGATATTCAGCACATTAAAGTTAATTTGCTATTTGTAAAATTCTATGTGATTGTTGCATCTTTCAAGTTATTTTGATGATATCTGTAGTCTTGGTAAAAGGCATGTAGTGTTGTCTCCCACAGTGTGTCACGGTGGGATCTCAAATGGGGTCCGTCGTCTAATGTGAGTCAGTTTTGGGGGTCCTTGACATGAAAAAGTTTGAGAACCAGTGCTTCACAAAACTCAAGGAGATCATTCCATCTCACAATTTCTAGCAGCTGCAACATTTAAAGTGAGAAAGTTCACAACAATAAACAATCAACATGACTGACATGCTCAACTTCAGAACACTGTAATTTCACCACCGTATTTCTAAACATATTGACATTATTACATTATAACTGACAATATTAACTGCACTTTCACACAGTGAGCTTGAGGATGGCAGCGCTAGGGAGTTAGAGAAAGGGACAAAGAGCAACACCAATACAGAGGGCGAATCAGAGACTGAGGAGCAAACTGGGACACAATGTCAGTCTTAATTTTACCACTAGATGACACTAAAGTAAAAAAATAAAATAAAATCCTGCATACAGTGAAATTAATAAGATTAAATGAGGAGGCTGTTACACTGGTGTTGTAAATAATAAGCAACATTTTAATGATTGTTTTCTTGTACATAAAACTATGAAATATATAATATAATAACTCAAACTACCAGTTTTAAAACAGTTTCTTTAAATTAAGTCGCTTTTATCCAAAGCTTTTTTATGTCAGAGGTTGCACGCCTCTCGAGCAACTAGGTGTCTTGCTCAGGGACACAATGGCAGATGGGTCACAGAGGGGGATTGAACCCAGGTCTCTCATATGTAAATTTCATATGTAAATATCATAGTATTGTAGGGAAAGGATTTTCTTTTATTTCTGGGACTCTGATTCAGACCAGGTCAACAATATACAGTATCTGTGATAAGTTAAATCAGGTAATGAGATAATAATCAGCTGTAATATAAAGCTGAGCTTCAGAAGCAAGACAAGAAAGACTCCTCTAGTAATTACAGATCGGTGCAAAAGTCCTGTTCAAACCTTGGTGACTCAAACAATGTGGATGATGAAGTGAATCGTGTGTCTCTGGATTGATAGGATTTAAGTTGACAGCGTCCAACATCTGAATATCTTGGTGAAGTTCCTGAAGTCTGAGCTGGATTCATTGTAAACAACCACATCAGCAATGAATGACCTGAAATTTTGACCATACATGTAGTAAATGTCATAAATTGACAGGGCTGATCTTTGCTCAGTGCTGCTGTGGCTTGTTGACTGTTGTGTAGAGAGGATCCTCTGAAGAGCTGGACGGCTGGCTGACTGTACAGTAGGCTGGATTTTACTTCACAGTAGAATATTCGTAGGCAGCAGAGTTGGGTTTGAGGATCACTGCCTCACCACCAACTCTGTCAGAGCTGTTTGGAAGTTGATGCTGGAGTAATGCTGCGAGGCAGACGGGTTTGTGGGAAAGTTGGCAGTGGCATAAATCGAGTTCATCTTATTTCCTGAGTTTGGCGTCTGCTGTATCTCCTCATAGACATGATCCTACCAGAATGAAAAATACAGTCTGAAAAAATCATATAAAATCCATATAATAAGAACTGACAACACAACAGGATCTCCACACGTAGCAAAAAGGGAGATTCTGTCACTGAAACAGTGAAAACGCTTCCTCCTTGTTGGTCAATATTAATTTATATTGTTTTTTCTATGAAATGAGAGTCCCAGAAGTTCTTTCTTATTCTTTTAACACTCATACTTGAGTAATCCAGCTTTTGCACAATTATTCCAGCAATATCTATTCAACCTATACAGTACCACAACGCACACAAACATTCATATATACCAACAAGTCCTCAAACCTAAACGACAACATAGGTTGTTTTTACCAATATCCAAATACGACTCAAATGAGCGTTTTGGAAATCACGTGATCTAAGTCACATGACATAAACACGTGGAGTGACACAAAGGAGGCAAACCCTACCTACACAGCTGTTGGGTTTACCATTCAACATACATACAATCACTGACTGTGAAGGTTAGGATGAGGTTTGGGATCTACGGGGTTCTGTCAACGCCTTTAAGACTAGGGCTGCGTCCAAACTGCGTCTTTTTTGCTTAGGAAGGTTCCTAACTGAGTCAAGTGACCTGGAAGTATTTCGACTATTGTTGTTTTTTATTAGGCTATGGGTAAAATCGATTTAGATCACAGAGCTGCGGGCAGTGCATATACTAGGCTATTCGCTCAGCACCCCTTCTGCACGGTCGCTCTCTCTCTCTCTCTCTCTCTCTCTCTCTCTCTCTCTCTCTCACCTCAGTTAGGCTGTCATTCTGTGGGAAACACTGTGTTTACATACAACAATTGGGATTTATTTTGATGAATGTGGGTGGGCAGGAGGGTGAGTATGAGCAAGCATTTTCAATCTGACAATCCTGTCCATTATTTGGTAACTGTTACCCTATCTGCCTTTTTGCTATGTACCATCCACCGTGATGTCCGCCTTTAGATGGTGGACACATCTTTCTTTGACCTCATGACGTTTTCCATCGAGGTCAAAGAAAGGTGGTTAGGAAAGAAGATTATTCTTGACTTTTCGAACGCAGCCTAATATGGTTAGCTAACTAGCTAAGCCTGAAACTACGAAGTTAGTTAATGCTAATTAACTTTATTAAAAAAAAAAAATCATCTTGTTTCACATTGGAACTCAGGTGAAAGGCGGCTAAATTGCTTTCCTCCAACAAACCCACCACCACAGGAGTGCAACTTTATGGCTATATATAATAAGGGACCGTCTGGTCTGGCCGATTATCGGCGGCAATATTCAGCAGTTTTCCAATAATCTGCATCGGTCATTTCAAAAACAGATTGTCGATATAATCAATTAATTAAAAAATGCGCTCATTTGGCTCTGATGCAGCCGCTTCTTTCAGTCTGTACTCACCACTCTGTGTGGTGGAGCAATGTCCCGCCCACAGTACTAGCTGATTGGTTACAAGTCACGAGTAATAGCCTATCAACACTGACTATTGTGCGGAAGTAGCCAATAGAACAAGCGAGCCACCACACTGTTTAGCTGAGATGATATGTATCTTAAAATTTACTAGCTCCTTGCAACCTCAGCTGCTTGTTGAGAGGCAAGCGCTGGGCTTTCCGGTCACCAATAGTGAAAAAATGTTCAGCTTGGAGCGCAACGCAGCGCTGGTCAATGTCACTTCTTACCCAGCCTTTCTATCACAGTGCTGGGGGGGTTGGGACAAACACCATACCGAGCCACCTCAGCTCTTTAACCTTGGGGTGGTGATGGGGAAGTGGATAAGATGCATTCATTTTGTGTGCGAGACCTGGGTTCAGATCCACTGTGAAACACCGTTGTGTCCCTGAGCAAGACTCTTAACCCCTAGTTGCTCCAGAGGCGTGCGACCTCTGACATATAGAGCAATTGCAAGCTGCTTTGGATAAAAGCGTCAGCTAAATTAATAAATGTAAATGTCTTCATGCAGAGCCTATCCTACACTTTGTGGTGACATTTTTACATTTAGTAAAATTAACTTGCCTACTTGCAGCACATCACACACATATTATAATATAAATAGCAGGTGGTAAAGGAAAAGTTCATGATAATTTTTCAATTATAGTAGTCCATCTCTGGGATGGATCTCTAATTCATTTAATTTACTATTTTAAAGATTAAACATGACAATTAACTTTAATCTTGTTATTTTCAACAAAGTTTTGTGTTGGAGTTTGTGTTATTCAAAATTTTGACACCAAGATTAAAGATTTTACAGCAAATGTATAACGGTTCCACATATCAGTCATCGGTCGGCCCAAAAAAAAAATACACCAGTCGATCCTTAATGCGTTTGCATTGTACTGCCACTAGAGGTCGCTTACATCAATAAACGTAAACATGAGTCGTAATTTTGTGTGGCTTAAACACGGTTATTTTTTTTTCTGTAGAGGACAGTTGTATTTATACACTAACCTTTTTGTGCTGTGCTGCTGCTCCATTTCTTGTGTTCTTTAAATGTGAAAATCCTGGAAGAAGCAAAAGTAAGATAACAATAGCTGAGTAAAAAAGTAGAAGGACATAAATGGATTAATTTCACCAATTTTTATCAAATTGAGACACTACCTCTTTAAGCCTTAAAGCGACATTATTATTCCCATAACGCACTGAAACATGGCTGGTAGCAACTTAAAACATATTCCTGAGGACCGCTATCCATTTATCTCAGATTCATAGTCCTCGGGTCCATGCGACTGGTTTTTTTATTATTATTATTAATATTATTGCTATGTCTTATAGATATATATGTGTTTATCCTTAACCTTTCCTCTCCTATATTCCTTATGTTATTCCTACTGTGATGTAAATTTCCACAACAGTACTGACACCAAATCTCGCAAAAAACAAATTTTATATAATGTTACTTTAACCATCGGATCTTGCCTTTGTGTTTACACCTGGTATTTTTTTCTTGTTTTCTTGTTATCCTCATTGAGATTGGATCTCTCCTAAACTGCGCATGAGTAATTTCAGGTGGAGGCTAATTCGCACCAGACTCATGCTGGTGAGTTGGGGAAAATGTAAAGTTTATACTTTGTGAAATTCTGTTTTACAACAAATTTATAATTATTTGTTTCCTCTTGTAAGTCTGGCAAATAAGTGAAGTTTTTCCTTTCTTTGTATAAAAACATTGTGTCCATTAACTTCAAGACATGAAAAAGAATTCATGTTTAGTCACTACAAACGATATAGAGTGTCTTCTTTGGCCTTGTTAGTCCTCACCTCCACACAGGGTGGAGCTGTTGTTAATGTGGTTTTCTGTTTACAATATGTGAGTGTTTCTTCTGCAAACTGGTAATAACTCTTACATGCGTAGATTAGGATCAAAATCAGCACAAACAGCAGCAGCAGCATAGCTACACAGACGATCACAGTGATGACGACGTCAGGGCCACCTGCAAAATAAACCACAATTATTTTTTTCAACATGGGTCATTTTCATCCACAGCTGTCTGTGTTGAGAAAATGTAAGTGGACGTTTATAGAAATTTCATTTTAACCCCCCCCGCTCTTCTCCAGCAGAAGATTTAAGAAGTCAAACGTGCTCTCTTACCAGGACTCTCTGCAGATGCAGTAGTTGACTGGGTTGAAAAAAACAGAGATGTGGATACTGCTGGTGATACTGCTGGTGATACTGCTGGTGATACTGCTGGTGATACTGCTGGTGATACTGCTGGTGATACTGCTGGTGATACTGCTGGTGATACTGCTAGTGACACTGCTGGTGATACTGAAAAAGAAACCCATTTAAATTTGGCAAGAGAACAGACAGAATAACCCTTAGAGATCAGAATGTTAATTATCCTTAAAAAGTATAAAACATGCATAGTGAAACACTCAACACTAAATCTGTTTATGAATTGATCACTTGGGTTTTAGTTGTTGCTGATGAAGTTCTGCTGTCACATCACTGCAGAACGCTGCTCTGAAGAAGTGCAGGAACTTAAAACAAGAATTAAGCAGCATCAGGATTTCACAGCCATTTGAAAAAAAAGTAAAATGTTTTTTTAACAAAGCAAATTATAAGGCTTTAATGAGTTTCAGCTTAATTGCTTCTTCACATACACTATAAAGGTTCTGATTTCTTCTACAATTTTCAATTATAATTTTGGCTTCCACAAGTTATCAGAACAAAATAATCTATGTAAAATAATTTTTGTGAGACATTCTTTTTCGCAATGATGCTCTCGCTTTGACTTGTGTTTATAATCCAGTGTGTTATGTGACCTATATGTTCAGCTCGGGCCAAGATGAAGGGTGGAGCGCTTTTGATCAAGAACAAGTAAGGAAAAACCAATTCAGCTGTTTGACGGTTGTTACACACTGTGACAGTCCCAAAGACTGGTGCAAATAAGTTAGAAAAGAGCCTTAAGCATATGACAGTAAACAACTGTGTGGTAACATGACCAGATCAGACAGATCTGGTCACAAAGCACGTTTTATACTGAATGAGTTAGAGAAAATTCAAAGTTCAAGAAGATCCTTTTTTTTCAAAAAGGTCATCCATCCATCCAACCGCTTCTCCTGCAAACAGGGTCGCGGGGAGCTGGAGCCAATCCCAGCTTACATCGGGCGAAAGGCGGGGTACACCCTGGACAGGTCACCAGTCCATCTCAGGGCCACACATAGACAGACAACCAATCACATCCACACCTAAGGACAATTTCGGAGACACCAATTAACCCAGCCTGCATTTCTTTGGATGGTGGGAGGAAGCCGGAGCACCCGGACAGAACCCACGCGGACACGGGGAGAGCATGCAAACTCCCCAAATCATTGACTAATCGTGTTAATTAATCACAATCTCAATATTATTAGTCAATAAGTGAGTATGATTTTTTGCCATAATTGAGTAATAGGATGCTCTTGCCAGGATTGCTAAGTAAAAATAGAAAATAGATTAGAAAGAAAAAATATTAACTCAGTTGTGTCTTTTTAACTGAAACCAAAAAGATTTTTTTACTGTTTCAGTTGACAGTGACTGAAATTGTATATCACATGCAATGTGTCTGTTTAATCAAGATCAATACATGAAACAGATAAAACTATCTCAGTTTTTGAGGTGCCTTTTCAACTGCAACCCTAAAGTCATTATTATTGTTTCAGCTTACAGTGACTGAAATATGTCTTATCTGTTTGATGGCAGGAAAAGCACAAGTGTTAATAATAACATTAGCAATGGATCTGTTGTATTCAAGTCTAACAGTAAGTCATGACAGTGAGTCAGCATGAACAATATCAGGACCTTGAAACTGCAGCAGCGAAATGGAATTCAGCCCTCATTCATTTTATTATTTACACCTGTATTTTTCCTAATGTGATGTAAAAATGTCTTCTGTGACAAAGGTCTGATGCTGCCAAATGTTTTGCACTTTACCACAGAGAAACTAACTGTGGTTCATTATAAAACTGTAACTTATTTATCTTTATTCACGCCAACTCAGATTCTGTCACTGCTTCTTCTGCTTTACCCGTCGCCAGGGTGAATCGTAGTATTGGCGATCCATTGATGATGGCTTTATTTATGTCTTGCATGCACTTGGAGGTTAATATAGTCAGAGCTGATAAAATTGATAGTCAACTACATCCACACAATAAAACAATATCACTCACCGACAGTCATCACCAGTTTGTGGAAGAATTTGTTGCTGCGTGTTTTGTCAGTGGTTTCTGCTCCACACCAGTATGTCCCAGTGTCGTCTGTTGTTACATTTCTCACTGTTATGGTGATCTTTCTCTTGTTTTTGTCCTCCTTCATAGAAAACCTCCCAATGGTCTTGTTGTGCTGTGTGCTTAATAAAGGCTCACATATAGATGGATCTTCTCCCTTACAGATGAATTTGTTTATCAGAGTATAATTTGGATATCGACACCAGTATGTAAGATTCTGTCCAACAGCTGGAAACGTGGTGAAGTTAGTAATAGAAGCTGTAGAGACACAGACAGACATCGTTGTGTATCAGTGACTGTATTTAACAACATTTTTCAGTGACACCAAAATTATCTGTGTGAGTAAATCAAAGCTCAAAGTGTCAGATGTGTGCTGCTCACCTTTAACCTCCAGCTTTATCTTTCTGAGAGCAGCTCTGTAACTTCCTTCATGTGTTTCCACTCCACACCAGTAGACACCAGCATCACGTGAGGACACATTACTGATGGACACGCTGAAGCTACTGTTGGTTTCTGTGAGAGTGAATGTCCCGTTTGACTTCAGAGAGGATTTTGTTGATAAAATATCCTCACAGATTGAACCTTTCTGTTTGCAGAAGAACTTGTGTTTGTTTCCTGTGTAATCACATGCGATGGTGGTTTTAGCTGTTCTGTACGCAGTTTGAATAAATTTTCCCTGGCAGCCGTCTGTCTCTGCAAATAAACAAGAAAGGTAAAATGTGAAACTGTGATAATGTGCTAACACATGATGGAAATGCAAATCACCACACTCATACAGTAAAGTGTGAATCATGTTAAATCTGCTTTTATTGCAAATTGATCTCCATTTTGTTTATCTGAGTAGATGATGACTTGAAATAGAAATTGACTCTAGTGAATGTGAAATTAGAGTCAAAATAGTCTGGAAATTTATAACCAACATCTGTAACATTCATTTTAATAAAAAGTGAGTGCCTCTTACCAACGTCCAAGTCCAGTTCCACTGTGTCACATGAGTCAGGTAGTTGGTTAAATTTACAGGTGTACTTCCCAAAGTTCTCACGTTCAGTTTTATTAATGGCCACCCTGAGATGGTTTTTTTTTGGATCATGGTACAGGAAAACTCTGCCGTTGTTTTCCCACACATTCTTTAGAGCACTTCGTATGGTTTCTTTGGGATTAACTAAATCAATACTTTCATATGTTACATTTGGTTTTGGATATTTGCAGGTGAATTGAATCCATCCTACTGGGCATCCCTTCACTTTAGACAAGACCTCATGACCTGTAGATCAAAGACAAAAGTTCACAACATGACACTTGACAGACTGTCATCTGAATTAGCTCTCTATCAATGCAACATTGCAACTTTACTTTGAGCTCAATATTTACCACTTGGAAGCAGTATACAAACATTTAATACATTCTTTTAACACACTATAATGTAGTTATAGGCTGCTATGAGGACAGTATCTGTCAGCAATTATAATATCCTATTTAAAGATATATTTTATATAATTGCAACTGTGGCCATTGGTGGTCGTTGGTTGTCTGACTCAGAGTAAAAAAGTCCAGCCCAGAACCTCATATAGCTTCAGCTGAATTTCTAAATGTATTCTCACATCCTTTAGGAAATGATCTCTTTGCAGCTAGTATTAGTCACAATAACAGTGAACAGTAAGACTTTCAATGCACATACAGAAATGTGAGTATTATTTTGTAAGACTTGATAAATTGTGCATCTATCCTTAAAAAATTAAGTATCTACATCTGTATAAATAGTTGATCACTTTTTAAGGGTTTTGGTTGTTGCTGATAGAGTTCTGTTGTCACATCACTGCAGTACGCTGCTCTGAAAATGGAAGTGCAGGAAATGAAAACAAGAGCACAAATAGCAACAAGATATCTTTCTGCAGACTGAGTCAGCCAGTGACAGGATATCCCAGTTGACTGCCTTTGTAACAGCATTTCAAAATCTACTACATGCTTAAATATGGATGAAATAGGATGCTGTTTAATTAAGATCAATACATGAAACAGATAAAACTATCTCAGTTTTTGAGGGGCCTTTTCAACTGCAACCCTAAAGTCATTATTATTGTTTCAGCTTACAGTGACTGAAATATGTCTTATCTGTTTGATGGCAGGAAAAGCACAAGTGTTCATAATAACATTAACAATGGCTCTGTTATATTCAAGTCTAACAGTAAGTCATGACAGTGAGTCAGCATGAACAATATCAGGACCCTGAAACTGCAGCAGCTAAATGGAATTCAGCCCTCATGTATTTTATTGTTTACACCTGTGTTTCTCCTTCTGTGATGTAAAAATGTCTTTTGTGAAAAGGTCAATTGTTGCCAAGTGTTTTGCACTTTACCACAGAGAAACTAACTGATTCTCTCACTACTTCTTTAGCTTTACCCGTCGCCATGGTGAATCATTGGATTGCAGATCAATTGATGATGGCTTTAGTTATTCATCATGCATGTAATATGAGGTTAACATACTCAGAGCTGATACAACTGATGGTCAGTTAGGGTTAAACCAGCTTTCTGGAACAGGACCCTGAAACTCTACAGACCAATATTTATTAAAAAATAACTTTATAAGATGAAATAAGAGTCCAGCAGTAATCAATAATTACTATAGCTTCATTTTCATGCTTGTCATCCAACTATTACCCTCCTACAATCTGAACCAGGATCAGATTACATCCACACAATTAAATAACATCACTCACCTACAGTCATCACCAGCTTTTGGAAGAATTTTTTGCTGCGTGTTTTGTCAGTGGTTTCTGCTCCACACCAGTATGTCCCAGTGTCGTCTGTTGTTACATTTCTCACTGTTATGGTGATCTTTCTCTTGTTTTTGTCGTCCTTCATAGAAAACCTCCCAATGGTCTTGTTGCGCTGTGTGCTTAATAAAGGCTCACATATAGATGGATCTTCTCCCTTACAGATGAATTTGTTTATAAAAGAATCATTTGGATATCGACACCAGTATGTGAGATTCTGTCCAACAGCTGGAAACGTGGTGAAGTTAGTATAAGAAGCTGTAGAGACACAGACAGAAAGACATCGTTGTGTATCAGTGACTGTATTTAACAACATATTTCAGAGACACTTTAATTATCTGTGTGAGTAAATCAAAGCTAAAAGAGTCAGATGTGTGCTGCTCACAGTTAACCTTCAGCTCACAGATTAAACCGTTCTGTTTGCAGAATAACTTGGTTTTAGCTGTTCTGTACGCAGTTTGTATAAATTGATTCTGGCAGCCGTCTGTCTCAGAAAGGTAAAACCGGAATTAAAATACAGTAATGCTGTGCTAACACGTGGTCACCACACTCATAAGGTGTGAATGATATTGATAATATTCTAAACACTCAAATACGCTTTACAGGGCGAAAAATAAAAGTAACTGGTTAAAAAAGAAAAGGAGGGAGAGAGGGGAAGGACAGAACTGGAGAATGCAGTCTTGAAAAGGTGGGTTTTGAGGGTCTGTTTGAAAGATAGCATGGAGATAGGGGATGGTGAGGAACCCAGAGTCAGAGTGAAGTATGTCATTGGGTGATTTTAAGTAGGGCAGTTTGAGTGAGTATCGACAACTCGCTCATGGATTGTGGACAGAGAAAGAATGATGGAGATGGGCCTGCAGTTGTTCAGGGTGTCGGGGTCGAGTCCAATGGACAATGAGGAGTTGCTTACATTGGTGATGAGTGGGGAGAGTGTTACATCTGCTTTTTTTGGAATCTGATCTTCATGGCAAATTGATTTCTCTACTGGATGTGGAAGCAAAATAATTTAGAGTAGTGGCACCACACTTTACATGTACAGTATGAAAGCTGAATTAAATCAGTTACGCCTCGATACATAAAAAGCAAAGAGAGAATATGTTTATGAATTGATCACTTGGGTTTTAGTTGTTGCTGATGAAGTTCTGCTGTCACATCACTGCAGAACGCAGCTCTGAAGAAGTGCAGGAACTTAAAACAAGCATTAAGCAGCATCAGGATTTCACAGCCATTTGAAAAAAAAGTCAAATGTTTTTTTAACAAAGCAAATTATAAGGCTTTAAGGAGTATCGGCTTAATTGCTTCTTCACATACACTATAAAGGTTCTGATTTCTTCTGCAATTTTCAATTATGATTTTGGCTTCCACAAGTTATCAAAACAAAATAATCTAGGTAAAATAATTTTTGTGAGACATTCTTTTTCGCAATGATGCTCTCGCTTTGACTTGTGTTTATAATCCAGTGTGTTATGTGACCTATATGTTCAGCTCGGGCCAAGATGAAGGGTGGAGCGCTTTTGATCAAGAGCAAGTAAGGAAAAACCAATTCAGCTGTTTGACGATTGTTACACACTACGGCAGTCCCAAAGACTGGTGCAAATAAGTTAGAAAAGAGCCTTAAGCATATGACAGTGAACAACTGTGTGGTAACATGCCCAGATCAGACAGATCTGGTCACAAAGCACGTTTTATACTGAATGAGTTAGAGAAAATCCTTTCTTTTCAAAAAGGTCATCCATCCATCCAACCGCTTCTCCTGCAAACAGGGTCGCGGGGAGCTGGAGCCAATCCCAGCTTACATCGGGCGAAACGCGGGGTACACCCTGGACAGGTCACCAGTCCATCTCAGGGCCACACATAGACAGACAACCAATCACATCCACACCTAAGGACAATTTCAGAGACACCAATTAACCCAGCCTGCATTTCTTTGGATGGTGGGAGGAAGCCGGAGCACCCGGACAGAACCCACGCGGACACGGGGAGAACATGCAAACTCCCCAAATCATTGACTAATCGTGTTAATTAATCGCAATCTCAATATTATTAGTCAATAAGTGAGTATGATTTTTTGCCATAATTGAGTAATAGGATGCTCTTGCCAGGATTGCTAAGTAAAAATAGAAAATAGATTAGAAAGAAAAAATATTAACTCAGTTGTGTCTTTTTAACTGAAACCAAAAAGTTTTTTTCACTGTTTCAGCTGACAGTGACTGAAATCGTATATCACATGCAATGTGTCTGTTTAATCAAGATCAATACATGAAACAGATAAAACTATCTCAGTTTTTGAGGGGCCTTTTCAACTGCAACCCTAAAGTCATTATTATTGTTTCAGCTGACAGTGACTGAAATATGTCTTATCTGTTTGATGGCAGGAAAAGCAAAAGTGTTAATAATAACATTAACAATGGATCTGTTGTATTCAAGTCTAACAATAAGTCATGACAGTGAGTCAGCATGAACAATATCAGGACCCTGAAACTGCAGCAGCGAAATGGAATTCAGCCCTCATTCATTTTATTATTTACACCTGTATTTTTCCTACTGTGATGTAAAAATGTCTTCTGTGAAAAAGGTTTGATGCTGCCAAATGTTTTGCTCTTTACCACAGAGAAACTAACAAACGAACCAACTGTGGTTCATTATAAAACTTAAACTGTAACTTAGGGACTCTTTATTCACGCCAACTCAGATTCTGTCACTGCTTCTTTTGCCATGGTGAATCATAGTATTGCTGATCCAATGATGATGGCTTTATTTATTCACTATGCATGCAATTGCTGACTACAGGTTGACATATAGATGGATCTTCTCCCTTACAGATGAATTTGTTAACCGGGCATCATTTGGATATCGACACCCGAATGTGAGATTCTGTCCAATATTTAGAAACTTGGTGAAGTTAGTAATTTTAGCTGTTGAGAGACAGACAGACACTTAATTTTCTGTATGAGTAGATCAAAGCTCAAAGTGTCAGATGTGTGCTGCTCACCTTCAACCTTCAGCTTTATCTTTCTGAGAGCAGCTCTGTAACTTCCTTCATGTGTTTCCACTCCACACCGGTAGACACCAGCATCATGTGAGGACACGTTACTGATGGACACGCTGAAGCCACTGTTGGTTTCTGTGAGAGTGAATGTCCCGTTTGACTTCAGAGAGGATTTTGTTGATAAAATATCCTCACAGATTGAACCGTTCTGTTTGCAGAAGAACTTGTATTTGTTTCCTGTGTAATCACATGTGATGGTGGTTTTAGCTGTTCTGTGCGCAGTTTGATTAAATTGTCCCTGGCAGCCGTCTGTCTCTGCAAATAAACAAGAAATATCAAATGTGAAACTGAGATACTGTGCTAACACATGATGGAAATGCACATCACTACACTCATACAGTATGTATTGGAATATGATCTTTATGGCAAATTGATTTTGATTTTGGTTATGTAAGTAGATGATGACTTAAAAAAGTGACTCTACTGAATGTGAAATTTGAGTTAAAATACTATGCTAGCTCCAAAGAATGTATTTGAATGAAAAGTGTCTCTTACCAACATCCAATTTCACTTCCTCTGTGTCCTGGGATGAGTCCGACTGTTGGTGAAATTTACACTGATAGTCCCCGAAGTCCTCACGTTCAAGTTCTTTAATGGCCACTCTGAGATTTGTATTTTTTGGATCATGGTACAGGGAAACTTTGCCTTTGTTTTCCCACACATCCTTCTCAGAGCTTCGTATGATTTCTTTGGGAGAAACTACATCAATACTTTGATATTTTACATTTGGTTTTGGATATTTGCAGGTGAATTCAACCCATCCTGATGCACATCCCTTCACTTCAGACAAGGCCTCACAACCTGTAGATCAAAGACAAAAGTTCACATCATGTTAGACACTGAAACGATGTGACAGATTATTCATCTGAATTAGCTTTCTGTTAATGCAACAAACACTGTTTCTTGTATACATTTGCAGGATCTGTCAGCAGACAGCTCTTTGAATCAGTGGATCACAGACATTCAATGCTCAGTTGCACGTTTCATTTAATTAAATGATTTTGACCTTTACTTTTACACACATAATGTTATATTATTACAAGTTATTAAAGTTACCCACCTGTTAGATAATTGTGAAGCACATTTTAATTAATAATTAATTAAGCACTTTAATTTGAGCTCCTTCTACCAATTATAAGCAGTATACAAATATTGAATACATGGTTTATAACACACTTAATGTAGTCGTAAGCTGCTATGAGGACATTTTAATAGTATCTGTCAGCAATTACATTTTTTCTTATTTAAAGAAAGATTTTATATAATTGCAATTGTTAATATTCTGTCATTCATCATCTGTTTACAATCCACTTTTGAGCGCCCACAGGAGGGGCTATACAAACACGTAAGTGCATTGCTGAAAGTGGAGTCTAAACCTAAATCTAAAGCAACACGTGAACAGCCTAAAATATCCTGTCTGAAAAGCTGATTTTGTTTATGTATTTCATTTAGTTTTTTTCTCTGAAGACTAACTAATTTGAGCTAAAGAACAATTTCCTCTGTTCATTCAGATTCATTAAACCTTTAAATGACACATTGTTGTGGCATGGTCCTTTCTAGTGAAATTGTTTATATACTGATCTTGTGTTTTAGATGCTACGAGATAACATCACAAGGGAGCTGGCTATTTAAAAAACCCCACATGAAATGTTGTCAGTGAACATTTTGCAGACATGAATTTGTCTTTTAGCCACACCGCCTCAAAGACACCTTGTTATTGTTTATTCTCTTACCATAACTGTACTGTTGTTTACAATCCTGCTGTAACATTTGTTCACAAAACGATAAATAATTCTCTTATAGCTCGACCAGAACTGGATTTTGAGGCTGAGACCGATTTCAGAGCACTGTATTGAGGGCTGTATTATATTAAACTAATACAAAATGAGAATAACCCAAACCAGACCAACCTGTTAATTATTTCAGAAGCAGGGCTGTGACAAGTGTAATCTCTAAGATCAGTAGTCCAATAGCAGCAAATGTTTTACCTGTCATCAGTGAGAGGAAGAGAAGAAGAAAGATCTTCATTTTGTTGGATGCTGAGATCCTCCTTGTTGGTTGGTCTCCTGTATCTGCACAGCTCTATTTCCTGAACTTACATCTAATGATACCTAAAAACTACTCCTCAATTTTCTATCCTGCCCCTTTCATCTTTCTTCTTTAAGTTTTAGCCACATCTCCTCCCACCTTATACATCA